TTGTGAATGTGTGGGTGTGAGTTGTGTTTGTGAGTCTGTGTGTTCCCCCAGGAGTCATTTTCCATTCACACAGTGCAGATGTCATTGTCAACCGTTTGAAATAAATTCCCTCCCAACTGCACACTTTATATGCATTGACTCAACAACCCACACCCAACTTCACCTAGAATTTTGTTTATCCTCCCTCTTATCAGATGGAGATTCCACAGTGCCCACACTGATGGCCTAAGCTCTCGAGTTCCTAAGTGGAGGAGCCAACGTGTGGACCAGGCGCGTCTCCCCAAGTCTGACGCTCTGAACTACTGACCTGCATGTATCGCTCAGACATAGCACCTGTATTCACCAGGCAAGGTCAAGACCGTGGGGAGGACAAGCCGCACTCCCTGCGCTTCACATGGAGCATGAAGATCATGACCTCCAGGGAGCCCAACGAGACGATGAGGGGGATCCACCAGGTGCTGGACACAAACAGCTGTGGGGGCAGCTGTGCAAGAAGTCCGTGTGCCGAGTGTGCACAGTGCGCCCAGGTGAGAGCACTTTGTGCCGTGGAGGGTGGAGGTGCGCAAACTGCGGGAGTGTTCACTCGACAGGGTTCAAGTGAGGAGGCTGGCTGCCACCTCCATGGCCTTCAAAAGCAGTGGGTCCAAAATAGCCATTGAGCTTTAGGGACTGCCAGGAATCACCTGGGACACAAGAGGAGAGGCTGCCGCCCTGACTGCCGGTTGGGCCGTCCTCCCCGACCTGGTGAAGCTTCAGAGACTGGAAGGTTTCTCCTGGCACTTCTCCCCTCCCCCACTCTTCTCAGTCTCTCCTCCATGTCTGTGGGGGAGGGGAGGGGATTATTGTAAATTCCTGAACTTGGTTCTTCCAAACCTTATAGTAAAATCGATGCTCCAGAAACATGTATCACAGGTATTCTGCTGTTTTGCATCCTCCCTGCACAGATCGGGGCTGTACACACTCCAGTTTGAGAAGCGTGTGGTAATGTAGTACTCAGAGTTCATCAGGAAATCTAAATGGAAAAATGACTTAAGAGAATTATCACAGTAAATCCAAATAGGAACAAATGATTAAAATCAGTTCTAAATGGATAAAGCTCGGATCTGTACTACAGGGTAGATGTGCAGAAACTGTGTGTGACCTTCATACACGAGTCACATTACCTGGCATTTTTAAAAGGACCAATGGGACTTTTTTTGGGGGGGGCCTGTGTTAATTAGGGCTAAATAGGATAAGGAAATCCCATGATCAGGCTGTGTTGGGTGTCAGAAAGGACTGTGGTCACCCAAAGCAGCTTAGGGGGTGATTTCACTGCGTGGCTGAGTTTCCTGACTATAATGAAGGAGTCCGACTGTCCACTGTGATTCCTTCTCCTCTTTATAACTGGGGCACAGAGTGGTCACTCTAAGAGGCCTGACCAAGGCTTGGGCTGTTCGGCCAGCCTGAGGTTCCCAGGGGTGCTTGACTTTGAGCCAGTGTCCCTGGTGGTCCAAAGGGAGGATTCATGGCAAGAGACAGCAGCCCGGAGGGATGGAGGGGAGGGCGAGAAAGGTGGCTTTTAAAAGGCAAATTCCAGGTTCCCAGGTGCCTGTATGACATTTTAGACAGTGAGTTTATGGTCTCAGAAACCATCATGGAGTTTCCACGGGCTTCCTCAGAAGCCTGAGGATTATCCAGGAAGTCCCCGGCCACCACATGTGGGGCCTGCCACACTGTGTGCACAGTCTTCTAACCTGCAGTGACCCTGCCCACTGGTGATCATAGCCGGGGATGGGCCTAGAGTCTAAGCAGTCAGAGAGGATTCTCCTTCACCCACGGGAGCAGGACCAGGGGATGCAAGTGAGGGCTGGGGGCAGGGCTGGAGTCTTGTCGTTCCCATTTAACTTCTCCACTTTTGATTTTCTTTATGCTTAACACCTGATGAGTCATCAACCAGTGTTGCTCTTCTTAAATTCCCACCCATGGCTCTCATCATCTCCAGGGCAGATCCCAGTTCCTGAGTTGACTTTCAGGACCCTCAGGGACCTGGCCCCCAAAGACTCTCTCACATTCCACATTGTACTTTACAATACACACATCAAATCTTCACTTTGCCCATTTCTCACATATACCACCACACCTCAGTGCCTTTGCACGTGCAGTTTCCTCTCTGGGAAGCCCATATGCTGGGCATTTATTAGTGCCCAGATTCATTGGACTCTTTGAGATGAATTTCATGGTAGATCCTGCCATGAAGAGTTCAAGGTCCAAGTAGGAAGATGAGACAGGGGTTTAACTATCTAGAGTGCAGAGTCACCTGTCCACAGGTATAGAAGAAAGGCACACACGGTACAGCACATGCTTATCTGCTGTTGCAGGTGCCAGGGGCAGCTTTTGAAGGAGGGAGCATCTAGCAGGACCCTAGTGCATGAGTCCGTCCACTAAGGAAATGGCATTCCAGGAAAAGAAAACATTCAGGCAGAAGGAAGCCAGAGTGATGGAACAGACCAGACAGAGGTGGGAATGAGGCTGGGGGGTGGGGAGTTGGACGAGCATCCCTGTTTCTAGGACAATGCCCCACTGGCGTATTTTGCTCTGAGTCTTCAAACTTAAACATCCCACAGCTCAGGACCTGGAGAGCAGTCTGCTCTGATGACTAAACATTCTGCTAATGGGAACTTCTCTTTCTCTCCTGTGAACCTCAGGCCTTGGCTGGCTGTGCCAGTGGCTGCCTCTCACCTCCCTCATGAGTCCAAGCTCAATTCCACAGAAAAGAGTTTGTTTTTGTTCTAAAGAACAGGGGATCCACTGGAGGGTCCAGTGGGGTGAGACATGACCTGACTCCATTGGATAAGATGTCTTGGGACTGTGTGTGCACTGTGGGCTCTGGGTGGGAGAGGGGAAGCTAGGAGCCCATGGAGGAGGAGGCCACTGTGGTCATCCTCACAAGAGGTGACCTAGTGTGGACTGGGCTCTGACAGGGAAGAGGAGGGGAGGGGGGCAGAGAAGGGAAAGGAAGAAACACACTCATTCTCCTCTGTACCTCACTCGACTGAAGTTCCACGGGGATCAGCCTGTCTCCTTGGGAGATGGTCCGCCCTTCAGGGGATGACTTTAGTGGGCTGCAGACAGTCCTAGGTTCTAAGCTCTTTTTGTGACCTTGGGCAAGTCCCTTGTCCCGTTGGAGCCTCAGATTTTCACTCTAAGTGAGTCTGGCCGTGGCCCCCGCACAGCGGTGCTGTGCTAGAGGAGCTTCCGCAGGTGGAGTGCTGGGCTGGGCGCCTGGCACCTGGTCACTGTGAGATGCTGCTGCTAGAGCTGTGCTCGGTTAGTGCTGTCCCTGGAGCCCCACCCAGCCTGGCCCGGGATCACAGACATCCTATACATGCTCCTTAGTCTCCACAGTGGGGTCAAAGCTGCCTCAGTCTCCTACAGGACTCCATCCTCAGATTAAACGTGGGGGGCCTTCATCCACATCTACATCCTCTGACTTTTCTGTTCCTTTCCTGGATTCTCTTCCGTGGAACAATCTGTGATGAGTGTTGGAAGATGATGAAGACTGAACCCAGGTCCCCACAAATACCCTGATTGGTCAGAGTCTCAAGGAAGCACAGGTCAGAGAATACAAGATTCCCCAGTGTGCATGACGGCCCAGGATCCATCCCCCACAGGACCAGGCCAGCACACCCCATATGTTGTGGGGACACATCATCACTCTTTATACGATAATTGGAGGCAGATTTGGAGTGATCTATTATTTAGTGGGAAGATCTTTAGAATTCTCCTGGAATTATGGACTTGGATTCCATTGATAATGGAAATAGAGTCAGGGACCCTGAAATGACATGTCTCCTGTTCTGTAAAGAGCCTTCTGGGCCCTGATTCTCCTACAACAGGTTACAAGTCACAGGGTCCTTCACTGGGGAGGTGATGACCAGAAACACGTCACCCAGGTGCACACTGCAGGTGTCAGCACAGGCCCAGGTCCAGAGCACCAACCCCAGGCCTGCCGACCCACACTCGGCTGCAAAGAGACATACCTGCAAATTGTTTAGGTCTTCTTTAATTTTTCTCAGCAATGTTTCCTAGTTTCCAATGTACAAAATTGTCACCTTTTTTCTCAGATTTTCTTTAATTATTACATATTTTTATGCTCTTGTAAATGGTATTGATTTTTATTTTTAATGTGTGATGGTTGATTGCTAGTATATAGAACAAAATTCCATTCTACATGTTGTATTGTATCCAGAAGCCCAGATTGAAGCACTCAGACCAGAAGCATCTCTGAGTGTCTCCTAGACCCTGGGCTGGGCGTGAATCGCCCTCCTTTGGTGTCCTCCAATGTCTCCAGTCAGAGACTGTTATCTCTGCTCAAGGGATTTCTGCCTGAGAAACATGAACCAGGTGAGACGTTAGCAGATCCACTCTTCTGAGGAAAGTCAGGTGCCGGCTGAGGAGGTGACAACAGCAGTCACCCCCTGAGCTAGATGTGGTGGGAGCCAGTGCAGGTGGCTGCTCCAGGCCAGGAGAGTGGAGGGAGGTTTGCGTCTCACTCCCCATGGGTCTGGGGCCCTGAGTCAGTCTTTGAGCTGCTGAGACACATGTCACAGTAACATCACCCTCCTCTTCAAGCTGCAGCCCGGAGAGGTACAGAAAATCTGAGTCAGTGGAGGCATATTTGGATCCAGAGAAGGGGCTGGGGACCCTAGAACCCTGATTCTGGTTTTTTTTGTGTGTGTGTGTGAGGAAGATCAGCCCTGAGCTAACATCCGATGCCAATCCTCCTCTTTTTTGCCGAGGAAGACTGGCCCTGGGCTAACATCTGTGCCCATCTTCCTCTACTTTATATGGGACGCCGCCATGGCATGGCCTGACAAGCGGTGCGTCAGTGCGTGCCCAGGATCCGAACCTCATGCTGCCGCAGCAGAGCACACACACTTAACCACTACGCCACCGGGCCGGCCCCTAGAACCCTGATTCTTACCTGCATCTGACTGGAAACTCAGGAGAAACTTGGGAGGGCTCCCTGGTTCTGCTGTACCAGCTCATCCAGAAGCTACCAACACTGAGAACACTGCTCAGGGTGCAGGTGAGTCTGGCTGATGTTCCCAGAGGTGCAGAGAGGGAGGGCACTGAGTCAGCACAGGCTTGGAGATGGGATCTGGGGACACAGACAGACAGGAGTGATGAGATGGGGAACACGGATAAAATGCTGGGATTTTGAGCCCAAGGGGCTGACATCTGCTCAGAGCTGCCCAGGTCTCTGAGGTGTGTCCCTGTATGAGCAGTGAGAGAGGAGCAGAGGAGGAGAGGGGTCCAGGCCATGGGGACACAGCCCTCCTGAGTGCCAAGCTGGGGCTGGGTGGCCCAGACCTCCTTTATCTTCTCCAGGGGCCAAAAGAGGAGGAGCTGCTCACATAGACTTTTTCCTCTACTGGAGAATCTGCTGCATCCTGAGCGTGATGAAGCCTGAGCTTGGTTCTTAGACAGACTAGAGTCTGAGGGCCAGACCCAGAGTCGCCCCGTGGGAGGGACCGGGGAAGCAGCAGCTGCAGGACCTCACACAGACCTGAGAGCAGGAGACTCTGCCCAGCCCAGAGAGGACACAGCTGCTGAGTCCCCATCAGCGAACAAGGCACCAATGCCCCAGCCCTGGGGAGTGTGGGGGATTACACAGCAGGGGGCACCCACTGTGCAGACCCTGGGAAGACTCACCGCGGCCCCTGCTGTTCCCTGGTCAAACTTCAGTCTCTCAGTGTAAATGATGTTGGGCCACCTGCCTGTGATCTGGTCACTGTCACCACAAACATCCATGGGACACGCCCCACAGTGTGAGCCAGGTTATTGATATAATTTGACTGTCTGATTTATCAGAGAGCAAACACTTTCCAAAATCAATAAATTATTTACGAATCTACCACATAGTTAATATTAAAGTTTAGAGAAGACTTTAAATTACACTATTAAAAAGGTAAAACCTTTTCATGGTTAACTAAGTGATACTCAACATCACAAGAAGTGAAGTGTGGAGCATGGATATCAGGAGAGCATGAACTATCTCTGACAGCATTGAAAAATGAACTTTCCCAAATGCATCTTTTCCTTCATGATCTTCATTGTGCGATGGTGATGAGCACCTGCTATATAAACAGAACAGCAAATGTGCTGTGGATCTAGCTTATGGATATTTAAGAGGAAATGGTGGACATTGATTTGGTATCTATCATCAAATTAATGAATGAGGGTATGTCTGTTAATGCTCTTTAAATAAGAAGAGCCTCCCAGGTAGCAATGGGATCTCTGAATCTCACTGTTGGTTGACATATTTTGGAGCTGAGCCCTGTCCCCATCATTACAGGCAGAGAGGGAGAGAGGAAGGAAAGTCTTGGAGGAGTCACCCTAGAGGGATGGACACACCCTGGCAGAGGCTGGAGGAGGCTCATGGCGATGAACCACTGGATAGGAGGACGGCCATGGACCTCCCTCCCCATGGTGGTGTTTCCATCTCCAGCCTCTCACTGTCTCTCCTGCCTCGAAGGGCTGAGCCATTCTGAGCATCTGAGGAGGTTTGGGTTGCACTTCCCCATGGGTTTACATCACTGTGTAAGTGTAACTACCCGTATGCAGAGCACAGTAATAGTCGGCCTCGTCCTCAGGCTGGTTCCCAGTGATGGTGAGGGCGGCTTTTTTCCCACAGATGGATCCAGAGAAGCGATCAGGGACCCCAAAGGCATGCCTGTTTGTATCATAGATTAGCATGCGGGGAGCCTGGCCTGGGGTCTGCTGGTACCAGCTGGGGTAGTTACTGGTAGAGACTGACCCAGAGCTAAGACCAGAGATGAGTGTGACCGTCCCTCCTGGAGACACTGACAGTCATGGTTCCTGGGTCACCACAGTCTGAGGTTCCACTCCTGGAAACAACAGGAGAGAGACAGTGATTTTTATGGGAGACAAGGGTCAGCCTGAGAACCTGCTTTTATGTGTCCCCCAAGGATGCAGAGTCCCTTCGCCTGACCTGAGGTGTAAGCGAGGAGCCCGACAAGAAGCACCGTCCAGGCCATGGTGGGGACACTCACAGGACTCGACCTCCTCAGGCTCCTGGGCTGGAGAGTGGTGTCCTCAGGTCCTTTTCAAGCCTCCCAGACCCATTAGGAGAAGGTGCTTCATGCAAATCAGCTTCCTCTCTCTTCCTGCCCCTGTGTCTCCCTGATGTCCCCTGGGGGAGATCTTGAAAGAGGCAGATGCTGGACCTCACACAGTCCAATGACTGCGTGTGACTGAGACACTGAGTGATGGGGGTTGATGTCGTTCATCAAATCAGCTCCACTACATCCCTGCTGACCTCAGTCCTAGGTTTCTGCTCTGGAGGGCGGGAGGGCTGAAGCGTGAGATGGGGGCGGCCTCCACCTCCTGGTCGCAGCCATCTAGTTCATCCCATCCTTACCCCCGGCCTGGGAGCTTCCCCTCCTCCTCGCTGAGATCATGTATTGTCTCCTTTGTGGGAAGTTAGTGGGCGCCCCTCCCTCCAGCAGTGAACGCACTGGGAAATCACAGAGTCTCATCTGGGTGTGTGAAGGGACAGGGTCTCCCTCTGACACAGTCTCTGAAACTGTCCCCAGGAGCAGCAGAGGGGGGATCAGGGCTGGGGGTGCCGACACGCAGCGCTGCACTGCCAAGCTCGGGACAGCAGCTCTCCTTTGCTCTAAGAGCCATCGATAATCCGGAGTAGCTTCAGTGTACCTGCAGGTTTTTAGAAGAAAAGGAATGATATCACCATTAAATTATGAGATTCCTCCCAACATCAGATTAAAAAAACAGGAAAACATGTGACTAATAATCGGAAGTTAAAATTATACTGAATCTGAAGAGTGGGTCTGAACATCACGGAGCATTTGAAACTGTTTTCCCCTGACAGTCACACGTGGAGCGGAAGGCACGGGAAGAGCAGAATAGCAGACTGTGGATGAAGGAGGAGCGAGAGGAAGATAAAATCTCTCCAGTAATGTTTGAAGTTTAGCCACAAAATTGGTGTTCTCACAGTGTGAAATAAAATGTGATTTTATATTCATTTCAGAATTGCTAGTACATTGTTTCATAAAATGTGCATGGTTATTGTTTTCCTCTCTCATTATCTGTGTTGGGGATCCCCAACTAATATCAGACAATGATTGGACTAAATTATTTTGTGCCTTTTAGACAAAGGATTCTCTGATATAGTTGTGAAAAATACGTAATATTATGTGCATCAAATTTGAAGATAAAAAGGTTCTAAAAGTTAAGAGAAAAAGGAAGAATTAGAAAGAATAATTGAAATATCCGAAAAACACAAACAATATCAGCTTCCCTGTCACTAAAACATATAGAAATGAATGACCAATAACATACTACTTAGAAAGTTATCATGACAGTTTTAGAGCTAATGCATTTATTATGTATTTCATCATGAATAAGTTGGGAAGTCACAGTAATCAGCCAGGATCCCTGACCTCTGAAGGGAGCCCTGAGCCAACCCTAGAAACTGCCTCTGACATTCTCGAGGCACCGTGGGTCAGAATAATTCTTTCCTATCGAGAAGGTCTGGAGCCAGTGGTGAATGGAGGAATAGGAAAGCTGGGTATGGGAGAAGAACCCGGGGTCCAGGGACTCCTCACAATGCAGGAAGGAGCAGAGAGCAGCGCCCCCTGGTGGCTCTTTGGTGATTCTGCTTGACCCAGGTAACAGCTTTCCTGGGCTGTGCTGTTTCTCTCTGAAGGACCACGCTGATGCACGCTGCCAACCATGGGCTAGAGCATCAAAGAGTCCCACTTCAGTGGGTCCAGTAACTTCATTTGCCTCTCCTGCAGTGTGTCAGGGCACCCACTGGAAGCTCACAAGCTGTCTCTTCCCTTGGAGCATCTGGCATCTGGCTCAGGGCATCTTCATATCTGCTCTCCCCCAAGTTCTATTTTCACCATCACTCGGAGATTTCAGTCACCTGGTCTCAGCCCAGATCCTCCCTGGAGTCAAGGTGAATGTTTCTCCATATAACATGGATGTTACTTGCACCTACAGCTGTGTTCATACGGTAGTGTTCCTGTTGGTTTGGGTTCCATTGTTTTTCTAGAATCAGAAAATGCGTTTGTGCCACGTTCTCTCCTCTCTCTCTCTCTCTCTCTATATATATATGTAGCATATAATATATAATATGCAACATGTAACATGTAATATAATAATATAATAGTAATAATAGTATATTAATATAATAATAGTAAAAATATATAATATACAGTATTTTATATATATTAGATATCTGTATTTTATATAGTATATATTTTATATATTAATAAGCATAATATTTTATATTACATATAATAGTTTATAATGTTTAGGTATTATATATAATTTTATACTAAATATATATAATGCTTATTTATAATAAAAACAAATTATTTTATTTGACTCTCTGATATATTTAATATATTTTAAATGTAGTTTTGTAATTTTACTCAGTATGAGGATTGATATAAAAAAAACATTACTATAAATGGAACCCGCCGCCCTTTTTAGGGCTTTTCCACCATTCCTGTACTGGAAACCCTCATGGTCTATTACTCTATGTGCATTGGGTTCTAATCAAGATTTTTTGTTAGAGCTCCAAGGAATTAACAGGGGTTGGGTGTGTAAGATCTACATCCAAAAGAGCAGATATTTATCCAACATCTTCCCAACCAAGAACCACAGAGGGAGAAGAGCTGTGGACATTGTGGATTAAACTGGGGGAGTGAGCACAGGATGGGGCTGCGCTGAGTGTGTAGATGGATTTGGGTGGTCTTGACGGATACTTCACGATATGAAGTCATTCAATCAATGAACATGGCTGTCCTCTTCATTTATTTAACTCTTCTTTAATTTTTTTCAGGAATGTTTTGTAGTTTTCAGTTTACATGCCTTTCGCCCAATTGGTTCAGTTACTCCTAAGTATTTTATTATATTTGATCCTAGCATAAATGGAATTCTTTTCTTAATATCTTTTCCAGCTTCTTCATTGTTAGTATATAGAAAACCAAATGACTTTTGTAGGGTATCACTACCCTAACTCCTGGAGGGCGTACTAGATAGAACACGTTAGGGGTTGTGATAAGGGTTTGTTTTCTCTTTTGGAACAGGAGGGTCACAAGTGATGGGGCAGGTGGGAGTGTGAGAGTGAAGCTCTGCAACCCATCAGCAAGAAAACGAGCATCACCAATGGCAGACTTTGTGCGTTTGAGGATTTAAAGAACAAAAATGGAACCAGGGCTGCCTCCACCACTTACAGGGGAAACAGAAAAGGCATAA